CATTTTTAATAGAAAAATCTAAGAGTGAAGAAAACAAAAACAATTCTATTTAAATAATTACCAAACACTATAAATATCTGTTTCAAGGAGAAAGACAGCTTTATTATGCAAACATAAAACATTTATAACTGGTAATTAATAAAGCAGATACATTCTGAGAGATGGACTTTAGTGATTCTGTTGTATATTTCAACAAAAATGCCTAGGAGGTCACTAGCAATACTATGTTATGGGGCCACCCTCATAGACAGAATAGGGTCCTTCAAAGGCTGAAGTGTTATACAGCACACAGCTACACACACACACACACACACACACACACACACACACACACACACAGTTCCCATCTCTAGCATAAAATACACAAACCCGTGTATTTGCATGTGTGTGTGTAAATGCACATGGAGGCCGGAGAGAGAAGTCAAATGTCTACTTGTCTGGCCTCCACCCCCTTTGCTTTTGAGATAGGATCTCTCAATGAACCCGGAGCTCGCTCACTGTCCAGCAAGCCCGAGTCTGTCCTGGCTTTCCAGAACTGTGATTGTAAGTACCTCTCACTACACCTGGCTTTACCATGAGTGCTGAGAACACTCAGGTCTCTGCTTGTTCAGCCAGCACATACTGAAAGCCAACTCTCTCTCTAGCCCCCAAATACAAACTCTTAAGCAAAAAACTCAGGATTCTACACAATCTGGCCCAAGCTGACCTCACAGATGGGGTCTTGTCATCCCATCCTACAAACTCCATTGTCGATGTTCTGAATCTTATTAACATACCAGGCCCTGGGAGTAAATGCAACAAGCATGGTGCCTGGCACACAACAGACTTGCAGCAAACTCCACCCTCAAGCCAAGGCTGCTTTTGCCTGGACTGTCCCCGGGCCCAGGCTGTCCTGCTCCCCTCTCCCTCATCCAGCCCCAAGTCCAATTCCCTCCAAGGCTAACTCAGATGTCACTGTCACCATAAAGTAGTTCCCACAGCAGGCAGTGGCTCTTTCCTTCACAGCGCTTTTGACTTCAGCTATAACCCCTCTGTTACTCTATCATACTCCGAATCCAATTCGCTACAACTCCTAGACCACCAGCATTAACATCACCCGAGACCTCATCAGAACCTAAAGAGTGAGAGTCTATATTTTAACAGGATACTTGTCATTTATATGCACACTTAACTTGAGAAACACTGATTCAAAACCGTCTGGCCTGGGGCTGCAGAGGTTGGTCAGTGGTGGACAGGTAGCTGCTCTCTAAGCCCCACATTCATTTCACACGGTGGCTGACAAACCATCTGTCATCCCGGTCCCAGAGGATCTGATACCCTCTAGTGGCCCCAGGCCGAAACGATAGTACTTCCTATAGCTTTCTTCCATCTCTATGCCCAGGGCCCAGAGTAAGACTCAGTACTAATGGTGGACATGGTGGCACCCAGCTGTAGCCCTGGCATTTGAGGAGCTGAGGAAGATCACTAGGCATTGTGGCAAGCTTGTAATCCCAGTCCTGGGGAGACAGAGGAGGATCCTGGCTCACTGGCCCGCACACATAATTTAGTTGGTAAGTTCAAAGGCAATGAGAGACCATGTCTCAAAGGGAGAGGATGATGTTCCTGGGGATGACACCTAGTCATCCTCTGGTCTCCACACACACACA